ATAAATTCAAAACTTGATTAATTTTTAGATTCATATGATCTCAAAGCTTTGGTGTGAGAATTAAGGAAGTCAGTCTTAATTTCTTGCTCTGTTTTCTCCCCTTTACAATCACTGCTTCCATACGAAGACCCATCTAAATCGTTTGGAAGCTGTGACTATGAATGAGAGAAACAGAACAAACAGAGCAAGCTTTATATATATATATATATAAACATGATATGTTATAGAATGTAAACCATAATTCCAGGCGGACATTAAAATCCTATTAATTACATGTACTAAAAAAAAAACATATATATAACCAAACATGATTTTATCTTTTTATCATACTCAATCTAATCTCTTAAAAGACTACCAAACATAATTTCAGAATAATTTTTAAAACAATATCATTTTTATTTTTGTACTGAAAATAAAACTATTTTAAAAACATTAGCAAACGGGCCCTGAGTTTTTTCTAATTTTCTATTACCTCCTATTTGTAAAGTCATAGGAGAGCTCTTTGCTTTATTTTCAAGTTAAAGTAATAGAATACTCGTTATCACTTTATTTTAAATCCTATTTAAAATATAATCTCTCATTTAATTTTGAAAACAAAATTTCACTCTCTCCTTATCTATATATGGCCGGCAATACTACAAGGAGATGGTTGGCGTTTTTATCAGCTAGAAAAAGGAGATAATTCCCTCTTTTTATCAAGTTTTTAATTTTGACTAAAATTCAAATTTAGATAAAGTCAAACTTTAATTCTCTTTTAAATTTAATTAAAAAACTTGTCAAACAAGTAAATCATATTCTTTGGAGATAAAGCAACCGAATCCCAGAAGGATTCTCCCATGCCACACGCCCCCTGCACCTCCTTGTGCTGGGCATGTGGCCTCTTGTGATCTCACCACAGTGTGTTCTAAAATTAATTAATTTAATAATCACATTATTTATTTCAAGTGATATTAGTTCCCAATAATTTAGCTTGAATTGCAAATATTACAAGGATGACGCGAGGACTTATGGACCAATAATTCTGAGCTCCAATAAAATTAATAATTAATTAAACTCTTTAATTAATTCTATTAATTTCAATAGTTACTCCACTAAAAACTTAGAATTGCACTCTCGAAATTACTGGCATAATTTACCAAGAACTATAAGTGTCCATTTGATATAGTCACTACATATAGATCGATTTTCCATAAATAATTCATAATTAGTGCTAGGTGAAATCCGTTAACCTCTCTAATTACATCTTTATCTTTGAGTATCATTGATTCTCTAATGAATAGTGAAATATAAGTTAAAAGTTAGAAATTTTAATACGTATATTTTAGTTATGAAAAACTGAAATATTTGGTTTATGACTAAATGACTAATTAGGAAAAGAGTAGAAATATTAGAAGGAAAATAGCAAAAGTTCCTAAAATAGGATTTTTCCAAGTCAGATAAAACAGGAAACTACTAAAAAAATGAGTACCACAAGGGTGCGCATTTTGGGCAATTCTGAATCAAAAAATGAAAATTTCAAAAAAAAAAAAAAATTGACTAATGAGATACCCAAGAGAATTGGGTTGGACATTAGAAGTTTGACCCAGGGTGCTCGACAGTCCAGAAAAACAGTATAGAACCTGTACTGGTTGTGGAACTATCAATACCGGAAATAAACTAGTTTCGAGAAATAGAAAGTTTGGTCTCGACAAGAAAAATGCGGGGAATGTAGAACCACTCAAGTTAAGTGTTACACTTAAGTAGAATTAGTAAAATTAAATTAAGAGAATTAAAGTAATTTTCTTAATTTAGAAAGTAATGTGAGATATTATAAGAAATATTAATATAATATTCATTTTACTCTTAAAAACGTGAAGTGAAGGAATTAGTAGCCACTTTGTTCTATTTTCCTAAGTGTGGCCGAGAGAAGAGGGAAAAGAGGGAAAAGAGAGAAAATCAAGGGAAAATCAAGGAATTACCCGTTTTTATCGAAATTTCTTCCGTTCAGTCTGATGGAAACATAACCCGGGGCGTTCTAGCAGAAAATCTCAACTTTTCGAGGTAAGATTTCAGATTTTTCATGAGAAACTGCTTGCTTTTTCGTTTCGATGAATAGTAACTCATCTCGGAAAAAATCTGTTAAATTGAAAAACGAAACCGAGGTTTTGTCGGGGACTGTGATAGGAGTTCAACGTGTAATTATGAAAACGATTGAACAAAATTTTTTGGATTAACACTAAGGAATCTGAAAACCATAGAAAATGAAGAACATGTGTTTTGTTCAATTTTATGTTGGAATCTGTGTTAGGGAATATGAATCTTGACTCCAGGTACCGAAATCGGAATTAGAATGAGTTATTAAAAACTCGGGAAAAGAGAAAAACTAGGTGAAATTCTGCCGAAATTTCTAAAAACCTAGGTAGTAAGAAATGAGTTAGGAATTCGATTCTCGAAAATGAATAACAGTGTTAAGACTCGAGAATGAATAGATTGAGGTTCAGAAACCGAACACAACGAGAATTCTCAGTTTTGGACCGAAATTGAAAATTAGACCCATGATGGAGTAACTTGTACGGTTTTAGTGCAAATTCTTGAAATAGGAAATAGTTTGGGATAGAATACCAAACATAAGAATTGTAGACCTTTCCGAATTAAATTTCAAAGTAGTTATTGATCTTAGACTTTGAGTCTAATGATAGAAAATTTATGCAATAGGATTGATTAACGATTGAAGTCGGAAAGAGTCAAGTGAGACAAAGGACGCGTCAATAGCGAAACTTTGGTAAGTACAATAGTTTTTCTATGGCTATATCACGAACAAGCTTACTTTTCTATGTTGCACAAAATTGTGCATGTAGTAGAATTTTGAATGTTAGATACAATGTGAACGTTAGATATTATGCCAAGTATGTATCTACAAGACTTATGTAATCGTAGAACTTTGTTTTACAAAAATATGTATCGGTATTAAGTCAAGATCAACTAAGAAAAATGAAAAGTTAAACTTTAACAAAAAGTTAATCTCATGATAAAATGCTCAATAATGCACAAATTCATAAGATTTAACTAAAAGTTACCGTTTCAATGAGAAAATTGATAAACGGTAAGAGACTAATCGTCCTGTTTGTACCAGCCTTCAAAGGAAAGGTTATTATGAGACTATAAAAGAAATAAAACCGTGACTGAGTTGGATTGGTTAGCTACCCCACTCCTCACTGGTTATGCACGCTATGGTACAACATGATAGGGCCCCTAAGAAGTAAAAGACAGGAAAATGAAACACGGAAACCATTCCATATAACGGTATGGTATCCGTAAACAAGAATGAAAAGAATGAGAAACACAGAATGAAAGTCGTTTAAAATTCTGTACAAGGCTATATGACATGAATGCATGTATGGGTATGCATAATTATTGCATCTGTTATGATATATTGATACCTGCTGAGCGAAAGCTCATTAAGTTTGTTCGTGTTGTAGGAAGCACGGGTAAGGCACCGGCTCCCTGAAACTTGATGCTGGGCATGCAAAGAGGATGTAGCAGTGGAATGTGGGTAAGTGGGTTGTGGATGTATCACGTGCTTTAGAAACGTTGCTGAACTTTATATGTAAAATAAAATAGTTTCTTATGTATTTTGATGACTAATGTAACATAATGCTATCAGAATACTACAATATTTTAGGAAAAGCTGAAAATAGAATGCTAGCTAAATGCTACAGCATTTTAACGTACTTGGTAAAAAAAATGGCCTGAAATTTTAAGAAGTTATAACTAGTAAATGGTAGAGATTAAGAAATGTTAAGTATGAGCATAGGATGATGATCAAAAGTTAGGATCTTCACATTATGTCTCAAAGATACAAGGAATATGATTTAGCAATATCGAAATATGCACCGAGTAAGTCAAAAGACACAAATCTATAAATATGAGTATGCTAATAACTAAGGATTAAGATCATTCTATATATGACTATTGGTAGACTCAATTAGAATATCTATACTTAACGTAAATTATCAGAAATTCATATTGTGTCTGTACTCCGATTCTACATAATCTCATAATGCGTAATACACTAATTTAATATCTCACCATATTAACAGTGCGGATAACACCGTTCCATTCTAAATGGGAATAACATGTATTAGTAATGTTTTAATTTAAAGATTTCAAACTTTAATTAAATTCATTACGAACATCGTTTCGATTATTATCCTTAAATATTATCCTCTCGTATATAACTCTTATATACAATACTTAAGGTTACATAACTATTCGTAAAATTTTCAATGATATTCACATAATATTTAATAATGTATACACATAAATAATGAAATTTCTCTTTTATTATATAAATAATAATATCTTTCATTACATCCCATGCGTTTAAGACACAATTTTCAACAATCTCTCACTTGTCTTAAAGCACGTAGAATATGTTTCTAATCCTGAAACTTTTTAGGTGTCTATAGCTGATCTATTCTTGGAACAACTTCCAAATTAGTTAAGAATTTTTAAAGTCAGGTTGCTTTCCTTTGCTGCTTCACAAGTTGCAAGACATTAACCCTTAATGATAAAATTAGCAATGACACTTTGTCAACAACCTTTCGTATCATGACTCCTTCACCTAGTGTGAACATAGATTTGGATGTCGACTCTCAAATTCTATACATGACTCATAGTCAGAGTCTGTGTATCAAGTGAAAAGACAACTCTTTTATTGTCTAGAATATCTTATAGTTTCTTGTTTTTCTTATACACTTAAGAATATATTATATAGTTGCCTAATAATCCAATCTTGAGTTCAATTGACAACGGCTGATCACTTCCACTCAGATATCCGGATAAGTAAAGAATAAAAATATCTTCTTTTCTTTCGTATAATTGCGAACACACCGTACATTTTAGTTTTGATCAAATTCATAAGACTAATAGCCTTATCAAACTTGATGTTTTACGATCAAGAAGTCTGCTTTAACACTATGAATGGTTTTTTTTGCAGTTTTTCACCATAAACGGACAATTTTAAGGGCTTCATTCTGGCTTTGATGTCAAGTGGGTTCATTAGGGCAAGCTTCATCATCAAGAAGAAAGGCCTTGGAAGAGCCGCTGTTGAGTTTTTTTTTTAATTTATTGTCATTTAGTTTTTAATTTTCTGAATTGGCCATGGGGTTGTCTTTGATTCTTGACCAATTGTTTGTAGATTATGGTGGTCACGCTTTCCTCTTGGAGCCTCTCTGGTGGCTAGGCTTGATCACAAGGAATTCCCCCACTTTTCTGTTGACATTTTAATTCCCATTCTTGTTGAACTTTTTTTTTTGAGGGGCTTGTAGGTATACTTATGTGTTAAGTCAATCTTATTTTGATATTTCATGATAATGCTTCTCAAAATTGTTTTTTTTTTTTTTTGGTATTGGATTGGTCTCAGGTGTAAAATTAGTAGAATTGATACTATATATGAATTCTTTTCCTCAATAACTGAGACAATATATTGAACCATTATCTCTTATAGGATGCAGTTTGTAAGCTATTATTATCTGCATTTTACATTGGCAATTTTTTTTTTCCCTTAGTATCTTTTATTCTTATACTTGTGCTTTATAAGGTTTTATGTCAACCTTGTGTTATGGTTCTTACTTAGTGCTGCTTTCATAATCTAAATTCAATGGGATTGATTTCAATTAGGACTCTTCTGCTCTAACCATTAGAAACAAACTCCTGATCTCCGCATGAAACTAGTTGCTTTGTTCATTTGTTGCAATTTGGAAGTAACATTATCAGTTTGATATTCCACTGAAAATGTGCAGAATCTCTCTTGAATTTGTATTTTCTGATACGGTTATTGTTGGAGAGATACCAAACTTTACTGCCTATGCATTTTCTCCTGTAGTTCTTGTTACCCCTCTCAGGGCATTAAGTATAATTTTCAGGTGACTGTCCAGAGTTATACACTTCTAATTTCTCCATTGTTCTTGCAAAGTAGTTCTCTAACTTCCTTAAGGTGGTTGTTGAGTAGTTTTGAATTCTGTTGGAGTATTCATGTTTGGGATGTATAGTGCAGTATTAGCTCACTTCACCTTGAAGGAGATGTTGCCGAAGCTCGGGGTTTTGGGCTGCGTGATGTGCATTGCCGGTTCGGTCAAAATTGTTATCCATGTACCTTTGGAGCATCTAATCACTTCTGTTAGAAAAGTATGGGACCAGGTTGGTATTTGGTCTTACTTTTATATCTTGGATTGTGTCTTATGCTCTGGCGACTAACAGAGTCATTTTGTTTTTATAGCCTTCCTGGCTTTATGTGGGATCAATAATCGTTTTGGTTTTCATTCTGGTCTTACATTTCGCACCACAATGTGGACACACAATTGTCCTAGTCTTCACTGGAATGTTTTCGTTGATGGACTCTAAAGCGCATTTGCTTCAGTCAAAGGAAAAAAAAAAAAGGATTATTTATCTTGTTTTTATTATTGGAGCTTATATTACCCTATGGAATTCAATTCGTTTGCAGTAATAACTGTACAATTGTTTTTTTGGATGGTACTTTTCTGCTTTTTATCTGTAGAATCCTCTGCCATCTTGTAGAAGATTTTGCATCTACATGGCTATAAAGATTTTTTTTTGTTTTTTATTTTTTACCTGAATTTCGATGCCTGTATCTCGGGTTAATATCCTCTGCTCTAACAATACTGGTATTTTAAGCATTTCACTATTATGTCATGTTTATCACCCTCACACTTTGTGCCAGAGTCATAATGTTCAAGGTATATTTCATGTCAAATGATTGTCTGATTTATACCTGTTTAGGGCGTTTAGATGTCAAAGTCGATACAAACTTAACAAATTATGCTTCGTCCTGGTCAATATACAAGTAGGCTGATTTACAGGCCAAGCACTTATAAATCTAAGACAAGCCTAATATTTGAATTACCACCTATGATCATTTTTGGAAATTCGTTTTTAGTCTTCTGTAGATCCAAGTGTTAGTAATACAATTGAAATTTAGCAGCTAAGCTTACTTGTCAAAAGTGGTTGAAGCATTATATGAAAAATATGTGGCTTTGTTATTGTTCTCTCTAGGAGCATCATATTGCACTCAACAAAAGAGTTTGAGGGGAGCTCATCTTTTAGAGGAAAAGATGAGGAAAAGATAGTATTGACTAAAATAACATGAAAGAAAAAGGACTTAAAAGATAACTCTTGCTAGGAATCTAAGTACGAATCTCACATACAACATTAAATGTTATTTACTTATCAGAAAAAAAAAAAAAAAAAAAAAAAAAAAAAAAAAAAAAAAAAAACTTCAGATAACCGATGCATAACAAGATTCTGTTACTTAGGGAACACTTATCGATGCTCGACAAGGTTGACCGAAACCAAATTGTGTCATGCTTACTTGCCAAAGCATTGATAAGCATGATTATTTTCCCGAATCACTTTTTCCTTTCACTGTGAAGTTCTCTTTTTTTTTTTTTTTTTTGTGAATTTTTTTTTTTTTTTTTTTTTTTTTTTTTTTTTTTTTTTTTATAAGTTTCACCGGGAAGTTCTAAATAAACTTGAATAAAATAAAACAGGGGAGGAATTTGCAAGGAACTTAAAATTGAGTTTTATGCGTTAGAGTGAAATTGTAATAAGGAAGAAAAATATGAAAAGAAAATAAATTTTAGCGAGATCTAAGTGTCAAAAGAGAGAGTGCTTTAATAAACAGAAAAGAGAAGAATTTGAGCTATTCACTCTGTTTGTTTTGTTTCAGTTCTGATGAGCTGAGAAGTTTTGTTAGGAAGAAGAAGGATGGCTAGATTGTTAGCTACTTTTAATTTCTTTAGTAGTGAAAATCAGATTTTTTAAGTAGGAGATCTAAAACTCTCTTAGTCTCTAACAAATAAAGAAATGACTGAAATTTGTTATTTGCTTGAATGTATTTTAAGGGATCAAATGGTAATTTGACTAATATGAGAAACTAATTTATAATTGGGAAAATCTGCTCATTCTGCTATGTTTGATGAGATGAAACATGTGACTATGAAACTAATTTAAATTGCATTAAGGTAATAAGTATTAATGCCGTTTTTTCATATATAGTGACTTTGTGGAAATGCCATCAGTCAACTGCCAATAAGTAGTTAACAATTGGTTTGGAGCTTGCTGCTGTTCTTCACTTTCTAGTTTGAAGGCAAATACGGGTTTTCTAGTTTCATGTGAGGATTCCTGAAAGGCTTACTCATTTTACTCCAGCCTATGTCCATCAATTTCGCTACAGAGATTTTCATGATGTTTTATTTATTTATTTATTTATTTGCAAGTATTTGGTAAAATCACTGGCATTTTTTTTTTTGTTTTTTTTTTTGTTTTTTTGTTTTTTTTTTTGCAAGTATTTGCTTGGTAAAATCACTGGCTTCCCAATTTTGAATCTAACTACAGTGCATGTACAACTTTGAGATTTCAAATTAGGCCGTCTTGTGGTACTCGACCACAAACTCTACTGCTTTGGAAACTCTAGATGAAAAACATTATTTTTCATCGAATGACAGATGAAGACGGTATAATTTCTTTGATAAGAACGAAGAACACTAGTGACATTCAACACTATATCCTAATAAAGAGTAGGCCCCACGCTATGTAAGGCACAATAATATTAGTCTTCCATTAATGTGTTGTGCTAAATACTAATAATGTCCTTAAATATTTTTTATCTAATAAGCATCTGTGAAGTCTATATCATCTTGCAAAGTAAGAGACTAGAATGTCTTTCTTTATAATTGTGATCCGTTTAGAAGTTCGGCCATTTCAGAGAAATTCTGCTTCCGAGTACTTACTTTATTAGTGTCTAAAGTTCTTATCTAATTCGTGTAGGTTAGATCAATGCAATCATGCAAATTGATTTATTTTATAGGATAAAGCAAAACGTATTTAAATAATATATTTACGGACAACTTATGCTAAATATTTATCAATAAACGTTTGATGAATAGTTAGTTTATTTATCTGTAAATATACTATTCATTTCAATGATTTAAAAGTATGCTATTTACTTAAAAAAACAATGTTTCCAAAATGTATTGTTCATTATTAACTTTGGGCCGCAACACTCTCTTAAGCCCACAAACCCGCAACCTATCGGGTGACCTCGGGTAGAGTCGGGTTACTCGGGTTGGTAAAAACTAATTTTGATCTATGACTTCATACATCTTTTAACAGTCCAAAAGCATAATTACGTTTTATGATTTGTTAAAGAAAAAAGTAATATACAGTCAAGAAACAGGACACGCTCCTTTATAGAGAAAAGAACAACAAAATCAACCACTTCCTAATCAAGAGCACTAATAAAGCTCTAAAGGAAGACCACTAAACTGCTTTATATATGACACCTACAAAGAAACCATGTACTAACCGAAATGAGACATCCAGCTTTCAACACTATCTGTAACGATTAATTCATGGTTATTCACGAGTACATGACCTAAATCTGAAGCAAATCACAGACCTGACAGCTCAACAAGCCCCTTAGAGTTCTCAAAACCAAGTTTAAAAAGACTTAAACCTATAGTCTTTAGAAAGTCAGAAGTTCATGTGTTACCTTGGGGAGAAAATTGTACTAATTTCAACACCTGGGATTATCTTCATCCCAAATCTCTATGCTGCATCTAGTGCCTCAGTGACGCCAGACATCGTATCATGATCCGTCAGAGCAAGAACTTTCACCTGTTATGAGCAGATATACTAATTAAATGTTGCTAAAACAAAAACTAATTTTAGACGGTACATAGAAAAAACTTCCTAGAACAATATAAAGCCTCAGAGCAAAACTAAGTAAAAAATAAGCTCTAAGGATACGTTGGTGTCGAAACTATTGTATGTGAATATAAACTTTTATCTTTTACAAGACGCAAGGGAAAAGAACAAGAGCAATATATTGAACTCGGGTAAGAAAAAGTATTCTTAAATGCATCTTACATAATAAGAAGAAACCCATATTAAAACAACTTCATTTTGATTTCATGAATTTCAAGCCAAGAAATTTATGCAAGGCAACTTTACTACTAGTATGAAACTTACATAAAGACAATTCTACAAACATATGAAAGCCATGTCCATGTTTTGTTTACGAGTGCAATGGAAATAATTTCATACATTAAATTATAATATAACCCTGAAAGTTAGTTCCTTTGTTTTTCTTCCACCAATTCGTTCTATTGTTATAATAGTTTTCATAAATTTGAAAACCATTCGAATAATACTAGCAAACTCACGAATATTAAGAGAACTTAGATGCAACCAATTTATTATTGTTATTTTTATCTCCTTAGTGGGGATTACAACAAGAAATTAGAAAATTCATCTTCAGGAACAGAGAGTTTGATGAAGTCAGCACCAAGGACTTTGTTCATTACAAAATCACAACATTAAATACACCATAAAAAACAATATTATTATAACAAAAAAAATCCAAAAGCGAACATACCAAGAAAAGGCATAACCCATTTCAGCTTTTGCTCCAAAAATGCCTATTAATAAAAAAAAAAAAAAAAACTCACCCCATTTCCGTGAGCTCTCTACACAAACTTGGAAGGAGAGAGAAACCCATCACTGAATTTGGAATGAGAGTGCAATTCAAAGACCAACTTCTCCCCACCTCTCCCAAGAGTCTTCTGAGCCCCAAAATCGTCAACAACGCATGAAGAAGCAGTCAAAGAAGAAGAAGATTGATCCAAGGAAACCCACTCTCTAACACACTTAAAAGCCAAACTCTGTTCTGCAGTCATCTTCTTCTTGGTCCCACCACGCTTCTTCTTCTTCTTCTTCTTATTCTCCTTCACCTTCTTCGAATTCCAACTGGAGTTGTTGGCGGTTTGGAGCGCGTAAGCTTCACCCGCCATGGCTGAGGAAAAAAGAAAACCAAACGACAAGGAGTTTTTTGACAAGAAGAGGAACGGAGAATGATGAACCACGAGTGTGAGGATTAGGGATTTAGGGTGAAGTGGAACGGAGAATGAGAAGGAGTGATTAGAGGATTTAGGGCGAGGCGAGAGACTGAGGACTGACGAGGGAGGCGACGAGCGAGCGAGTGATTAGAGGGATTTAGGGTTACGCCTGGGGTAGGTGGAAAACGGCCGGGTCGGGGCATATCGGGTTCAAAAATGCCCGCCCCGTCCCCAAACCCTCACAGTGCGGGTTGGGACTATTTGAATCCAAACTTTTTTATAAAAAAAAACCTATGTATTCGGGAGCCACAACAAACCAGCAGCAGCACCTCCGCCATCCATCGATCAACTGAAAAGCCATGAGTCGCACCTTTCGTGTCCTTTGATTTTGATTTCAGTCTCCTTGTTTGTATTTTATAATTTGTGTGAAAACCTTTTATCGTTCCTTTTATTTCCAACAACAGCCAACAGAAAAAAAAAAAAAAAAAAGAAGTCTACTTCTTTTCTTCATTTTCTTTCCTAAAGTTGTCAAGAATTATAGCTCAGATTTAAAAAAATAAAAAATAAAAAATAAAAATGCAAAAAAAAAAAAAAAAAAAAAAAAAAGAAGTCTACTTCCTTTCTTCATTTTCTTTCCTAAAGTTGTCAAGAATTATAGCTCAGGTTTAAAAAAATAAAAAATAAAAATA